GCATCACGATTTGCTAAAACGCATCACGATTTGCTCCCTGTATTTTCCCGCACTTCTGGCAGTTAAATGTTGTGGATCTGACAACCCATTGGTTCCCTCGTCACATTTTGTGCTGATTTGCCAGTTTGTTTGTACTAGACTGAAAATCTCTTCAAGAGTATTGGCTGAATTTAGGTCATCTGCACTGGGCGAGAAAGCAGCTTACGAATCAAACCTAAACTATTGCGCAACTACCCCTTCCCTAGTTGGATTAGGGGAGGGGTAGGTGCGCAGTTGCTCAGATATTGACATTGATCCGACATTATCCTTTACGCGCATGGTCTATATAACAACCACTGTTCAGTTGATCATTGCTACATCTGCTTAGGTATTTCGTTGCTTTACGGTTTTGTAGGAGAAAGATAAGAAAGAAGACGATGCGAATGAATTTGTGAGCGCGGTTTGCTGGAGAACCGTAAGTGAATCTTTGTCTTAAGACAATGACCTAGAGAGTACTACCGGCAGGTTATTTCAGCATCAAAAATACTTAAGATATAAGGTACTTCAAAGTGTAAAGGCAAAGGGGTAGAAATTTAACCCACAAGAAGTTAGCGAAAAAGTTTTTATTCCACTAGGGCAGATTGAAGTAGTTGACTTTCTAAGAACAAGAATTCAAGTGAGCAGTGAACCATTGTAAAGATTACTGAATTTTTTTGAAGAGCACAGTCAATCTGGGGAATAAGCAGCAACATTACTGATGTAGTTTTTCAAGGGACCGAATTTCCGGTCACGCAGCGCCGGCAAGCACGCGTACGGATGACTAGTGACCCGCGGCCTCGATCTGAGGGTACTTCTAAACCTAGAAACGAGGCTGGCGGCGGCCTTACCTAGCCAATCGTATTTTTAATCGTACGAGGTGCACATTAATATGCCTTTTTGTCGCTTTCTTAACAGGGATCCAATGTAGTTGTAGCCGCAAATAGTCAAGGAACAATTAAGGTACGGTGGCATTTGTTAACGAGCCGTGATCTATGGCGCTTTTCTTTTTGCTATATTACCTCTTCCAGCCCGTTTCTTCTTTTTTCTTGGCTGTCCTCCGCTTTTGAACCTTGATGTGATAAGTAATTATCCGGCTTAGAAATGCTCAACATGTTCCTATAAATTCAATATTTAGGGAGCATCTAAGCGACGAGTATCTAAACCCTCATCACCTGTTATTTGTTAAATGTGTCGATCTTGTGGGGAGAAGTTCCATTTTAATAACTTCTAGATAATGGATGGTTAAAAATCGCTCAAACAACCAAACGCAGAGTTTATTCTCGTTCGTAGGTTGCTGTAAGTGGTTACGTACCTCAAGAAAAATGCAGAGTTATTTTTAAAGGCTCATTTGCAGCGTTGCTTTTTTTTTTAATTTTTTACTTTTTTTTATTTTTTGCAGGTTCTTGAACTGGTTTGAGTTGGACTTCATAGAAGTTGTAGCCCTGTATATATTTTGCTTAGTCAGAAGCTCAGTTGTGCTGAAGGCTTATGTTACGTCGTAGTTGAAGTGTGGAATATATGTACAAAGTATAGACAGCATAGTTTACAAACTATTCAGCTCGCTACAAAGCTATTTACGTCATAATAAAAAATATCTGCATGCTAAAAAAAATTCGAGGAACAAAAACAATCAAAATTATTTTGCCTTACGAAACGACTCGGTGACTTCGGTGTAATTTAGTCGACAGTCGCAAAATGCCTTTGTTGTATCATACTAAAATACGGCGTTTAATTTTATCTTCCCTCAACCCTCAACCAGTATCTAATTTCCCCTTACAGTAATACTGCTAAATCATTCATTAAGATCAAAAGAATTAAGGAAATGATCGCCAACCGTAGAAGCTTTGCTTGTTAAACGAATTCTCCGTGTCAATACCTAAGGAAATGTATAGAGAAGAGACGAGTATTGAGAATATCGATACTGATGTTGTTAAAGATTCAAGAGTGAAAGAATATGGCGGTATATTATTGCAAGAAAAATATTGAACTGTACCATTGTATTTAGGTTATCCATCGTATCCTGACGTAACGAAGAAAACGTCTCTTTATGTTACAGTCTTGTTCTTTATGACAGTGTCGTTTGA